GACGTAAAGCAAGCCATGTAACAGAGGTTATAGAAAATATGGTTAAGTGACAATTACTACATTTACACGTCACGCTTTATGCCGAAGTTGTAACATCGATGTTATGAAACTGGCCAATCATAGCTATTCCTCTGAAGAATGGAATGACTGTGACTGGCCAGTTTCATAACATCGATGTTATAACTTCGGCGTAAAGCGTACCGTGTAAACGTAAGGCTGGAGTCCCATGAGGTGTATTTACCGCGTATCGCGTAACCGCGTAACCAATCAGAAGCGATCCGCTGTTGTGGTTTCGCGTTTTACTGATTATTGATTGGTTACGCGGTTACGCGATACGCGGCAAATACGCTTCATGGGACTCCACCCTAAGGTGCGTTTCGTATCGTGCATGATGTGCATGATGCATCCATTGTCCTTAGGTCTGTTCTTTTTGGCTGAACTTTTGCACCAGTTCATCTTTCTTCCTTTTCTCTTCAGGAGGAAAGAAGAGGAAGAAAGATGAACCGGTGCAAAAGTTCAGCCAAAAAGAGCAGGCCTCTTGTGTAACATTTGGTGAGCAACAAGGATAAACGATGCATTATGCGCATCATGCGAGAAACGGAACGCACCCGTAGTAATTGACTTAAGCCGGTTGCGCCTCTCTGATAAATCTAGGACTCTACTCACCGTATAAGCGGTATTTTTGATTCTGGCCGTATCGACTCTGTGTCAGGCGTCGTCTACAATACACGGAGTAAGAAGTAAGAGTAAGAAATTGACCAATCACAGTCGAATGTGAGAAGAATAATCGACTGTGATTGGTCAATTTCTTACTCTTACTTCTTACTCCGTGTGTTGTAGACGAGCCTTTAGAGTCAGGGCCATTCTCACGCGAAGAAGAAGTAAGATACATATGTCAGCAAGATTATTGTGTGTGAGGTTATATTTGAAGGATTATAAAATCGCATGACTATCTACAAAGCATCAACATGAAGTGCTGTATGCCTGGGTATAGGCACAGAAATAAAAAGGGCCTTTTATTTCATAGGTAAAAATGTTTGTATTAAGGTAAATTTTCACGGGCAGCTCAAACCGGCTGTTTCAGCGACAAAAAGAATCACGCGGTCAAAATTGACGAATATCAAATGTCCATTATGATCACGTGATCCTTTTTGTCGCTAAAATAGCCGGTTAGAGCAGCTCGTGAAAATTTACCTTTAGATATATCAATTCCTGCATATGTATTAATGATGTAGGATATGAAGTGTTATTAAAGTTATTTTATTGAATGTACTAATAAGGGCCTGAGCACAATAGAAGAACAGGAATTAGATATTAAGATTTCAACCTATCAGAAACTGATTACATCAGAATACGCGGTTTCTGATAGGTTGAAATCTTAATATCTAATTCTTGTTCCTCTATTGTGCGCAGGCCCTGAAACTAAAGTGATATTATTTTTATTTATATACCATTCATGTCCATATAGATTTCCATACATCGATAGTACATCGATCGATACATCGATCGCAACGCGTGCACGAACACTTTTGATTCGCTCAAATATTTAACCCACCCAAAATGGCGGCTGCTTAATTGGGGGTGATCCCGATTGACCATGGTTAGATTGGACACTATCAATGGGTGCATTCAGCAGAAAAGAGCGCTACTAGATCGCTCACAGAGGGAGCGCTTTAATTCTTTGAATGCTCTGCTACAACGTAACCTAACGTAACCCTACCTACTTTCGTCTGGATAGTACCTACTTATGTTTACAAAAATCGTGAAAACGTATTTAACATTGGGTGCATTGATTCAGGGGTTACAAACTCCTATTGTTCTCGATGTACCACGGTTTGCAGCGCCCTCACTGAGTGACAGGTCTCACGGACATGCATGTTCATATGTACAGACGTTAATCTATCTCACTCGCACAGTCGCTCTCTCACTCACTCGCTTACACACTAGAAAGGTTAGTTCTCATCCATGAGCCCTGTCACTCAGTGAGGGCGCTGCAAACCGTGGTACCTCGAGAACAATAGGAGTTTGTAACCCCTGCATTGATTTGTTAATATTAATTATCAAAAAAATTAATAATGAATAACGTAATTTTTCAATTTATGATCGATGATGGACTTGACATAAATATAATGAATAATATTCTCGGTCTTGTTGTACCATTGCCAGAAATCGAAATATTGCTAGGTAGACTACGTCAGGAAAAAAAATCGCGAAATGAAGAATATTTTGAAATAACTATTCCGTCCTATACGGATATTCAATTTAAAGAACATTTTAGAATGTCTCGAATTATTTTTGAGGTATGTATGTATATGTGATATACATGTGATAAGTAGCGATGAGTTCCATCGAAGTAGCAACAAATAATTCCGCTCAATAAGATGGCGTCCGCTCCCACACATGTTGAGAGAGTGATGCGAAAAGTGCGCCATTCAGCGGATAGTTCCGTAGCGCTCTTTTCTGCTGAATGCATCCATTCACAGCGACCGGTGCTTAGGAGCTTTGTAGTCTCAAACGCTGTGAGTGGCTCGTGTCCAATTGAGTCGTGTCCAATTGGATGCCACCCTATTTAATCAACAGCGGTCACAATATGGCTGCTTCTTAGGAGGGGATACCCAATCAGAATACATATCAAACTACCAATCAGAAACTCGGACATCAATGTCGTTTCTCTCTATAGTTCTGTTTTCTGTGGCTGAACTAGTGTACACTTTTGGAACTAAAAATGAGATAGATATACGTTTGATATTTGTTTAAAGTGAGAAAGAGAGTTCTAGAATAATTTAGTGCAGGAACAAAAAACAGACCATGTATATAGGTCTCTAGTAATCCTATATCTTGAAATTGCACATGTATCTGGATACACAATTTCTATTTTTGAATATAAATAAAATCATTTTTTGAGTCGGAAAATCAATCAAGGGGAAACCAAAAGAAGAAGAAGAAGAAATAAAATCGTTTATTTCTAAATACGGATAGTTTTCAATGAGATAAAATGTCTCGTTTAATAGTGAAAAATTTGCCAAAAAGTGTATGTGAAATCACATGTGATTTTTTTTATTTAATGTCATACAATATATAAATAATTGTTATTATACATTATATGTATATATATTAGTCAAAGTGTTAACTTTAGCAAATGTATATACTAGTCAATGATACATTTACTGAGTTAACACTTTGTGACACACACATTTATATTATATGTAAATATTTCATTCTACCTAGGTTACGGACATCAAATTGAAAGAATTATTTAGTCAAAAAGGTGTGGTGACTGATGTCCAATTGAAGTACACGAAGGATGGTAAATTTCGGCGATTTGCATTCATTGGTTACAAATCGGAGGAACAAGCAAAATTGGCACAATCCTATTTTGATCAAACATTTATTGATACTTCTAAAATATATGTTGAACAGTGTGCAAATTTAGGTAAGTATAATTATTTATAATTATTTTATTATAATAATTTAATAGTTTTGATATATGATTGTATTTTGTTTGTACGATATTTTAGGTGATCCTTTAAAACCAAAATCATGGAGCAAATATGCAAGTGACAGTTCTCATAATAATGTTACTGAAACATCTAATGCAAAGTCAAAGGTGAAACCAATAGATTTGACAGAAAATACAGAGAAAGCTGGGAATAAAAGTGACAAAAAGAAGAAA